CCAGGAAACCAAACCATTTGATTTCTCTTTTTCAACATGGTTTTTTTTTTCTTCTCTCCTCCCCTCTCTTTTCTCCCTTTTTAAAAATCCAGTGGGCCAAAATTTTCTTCAGCGTGAGGGGTTACCTAAAAAATTATTAAATATATTAAATTATTTTATTGAAACATTTTATTTGACAGGAAAATATTTAATGAGGGGAGCGTTGTCCGCTGGGGGCGGGCGGAAGGGAGGCCTGGAAGCCCCACACAGGGCTCTCCTCCTCCTCCAGGGCTGGGTGCGGGCGTGGCGTGTTCTGCGTGCCCAGGGCCCCGAGACCCCGCTCTGCTCCCCACCCCACTCCAGCCCACCCACTCCTCTCCTCTCCTGGACCCGCCTCTGCACATTCCTGCTTCAGTTAGGACTGCACCTGAGCCGGGCGTCAGCCTGCCGGGTAGCTAGAGATCCCAGCCTAAACCTCCCAATTCTTTCCTGGTTGATAATGATCATTTCTAAGACCAGAAAGACCAGTGAGCGCCGGAACCACGCACCTGGACACTCCCCGCTGGTCATCCATTCAACACGGAAATAACGGAAAGCCTCTGAAGGTGTTACCCCAACTCTTTTTAGGAACCCCCCAGACATTAGGGGTCCCCACAGGTATTAGGAACCCACAGACAGGAGACCCCATAGACAGGAGACCCCACAGACAGGAAACCCCACAGACAGGAACCCCCACAGACAGGAACCCCCACAGACAGGAGACCCCACAGACAGGAAACCCCACAGACAGGAACTCCCCACAGACAGGAGACCCCACAGACAGGAAACCCCACAGACAGGAACCCCCACAGACAGGAACCCCCACAGACAGGAGACCCCACAGACAGGAAACCCCACAGACAGGAACCCCCACAGACAGGAGACCCCACAGACAGGAAACCCCACAGACAGGAACCCCCACAGACAGGAGACCCCACAGACATTGCTTTGTCCCGGGTTTCTGGCCTGTTGGGGGCGGAGGAAGAGGGTCCGTGTTTTACTGTCTTGCTCAGTTCATGGAACCGGCGCAGAGAGAGGCCTCAGGCTGAACAGCAGGTTTTAGAAGTTGGACTTGAGAAATGGTCACGGGCTGTTTTAACTAGAGCTTTACAGTGTCACCAAGTCGGCGTCATCTTTTTTCCCTTTTCTTTTCTCTGCTGAGCATCAGAATCGCCTGGGGACCCCAAACCAGGTTGAATTCCATGTTCATTCAACCAGAAGGCCCTCGAGCAGGGCCAGGCGTCAGGGCAGAAACGAGGTGACCCACTGCATTAGAGAGAAAACCTTTTTGGTTTAAAAATATATAATTTCTAGCCCAGCCTGCGTGGCTCAGTGTCAGCCTATGAACCAGGAGGTCAGGGTTCAGTTCCCGGTCAGGGCACAGGCCGGGGTTGCAGGCTCCATCCCCAGTGTGGGGCGTGCGGGATGCAGCTGATCCATGATTCTCTCTCATCATGGATGTTTCTCTCTCTCCCCCTCCCTTCCTCTCGCTCTAAATATCAATAAAAACATAGTAAAAAAACAAGGACCCTCCCGGGAGGAAGGGGAGCCCGAGTGTAAGCCCGCTCCTCCCTGAAGGCCCGGGTGCGGGCCCTGCGACCTCGGGTTTTGAAAGCGCGGCAGGGCGGGGCTGAGCACGGGCGTGGCCTCCTGCTGCTGTCGGATGGAGGTGAACATCGTGAAGTTTTCGTGGGTTTTGTGTGTGTGTGTGTGTGTGTAATTTAAAATTTATTTTGAAAAACAAGCTTTAAAAACAAGAGAGTCAGAAGACACCCGTGGTTGGCTGGGACTGGAGTCCCTCCACGGGGGTGCGTGGGAATGTTTGGGCTGATGGGACTGACTCCTGTGCTGACACAACCGACAGACTGAGTGTAAATAACTCAGTTTAAAAAATACACATATTTCATTGATGTCAGAGAGGAAGGGACGGGAAGGGAGAGAGAAACATCCATGATGAGAATCATGGACCGGCTGCCTCCTGCACGCCCCACACTGGGGATTGAGCCTGCAACCCCGTCATGCGCCCTGACCGGGAATCCAACCGTGACCTCCTGGTTCATAGGTCAACGCTCAACCAGCCGAATAACTCAATTTTTTTAAAAAAAGGATTAAAAGGATAAGAGCCAAAAATGTACCCGATGTGAAAAAATACAGAGCTTACGGCTTTCTCTTGGGGAGAGTAAAAAGCTCCTGTGGTGTAGAGAAGGAACCGTAAAGGAGGTTGATTTGGAAGGCGTGGTTGAACCTTGTTTAAAATTATATATCTCCCTGCGGAGACCTAGCCTGATGATTGTGCGGCCTTTGTTTTTGCTGCTGTCCCGGGAGGCCGGCTTTATGTCTCCGCACCTGAGAGCCACCCTCTGGCTCAGGGAGAACTGGGGGGGGCGGGGCCCCAGCCCCCAGGGCTCCTGACTCACCGCCTGACCCCGTGGCCCCGGCCTCGCTGCTGACACGCGTAGGGTTGTCTGCCTGAACCTGCCTGACAGCCGCCTTCTCCGCCTTCCAGGGCTGCCGGCCAGACTCCCCGAGATCATGCTGGTGGGAACCCAGTCCTTCTCGCCCGGAGGGCCCAACGGCATCATTCGGAGCCAGTCGTTCGCGGGGTTCAGCGGCCTGCAGGAGCGGCGGTCCAGGCAAGTCCGCGGGGCTCCCCTGGGGTGCGGCTGAGGAGGAGCTGAGCTTCGGTGCTGTGCACAGCATCTGTGTGCACGCGGCCTCATCAGCGTGCATGCGAGCACGCGCGCACACACACACACATACATGCACACACACATACATGCACACACACATACATGCACACACACACACACGCACACAGGTCTTACTTTCATCTCTGCCTTGGAAAATATGTCAGCCACCCCAATGAAGCACTGTTGTTTCTTTTAAAAAAAATATTTTTAATTGATTTCAGAGAGGAAGGGAGATAGAGAGAGAGAGAGAAATATCAATGGTGAAAATCATGGATCTGCTCCCTCCTGCACGTCCCCTACTGGGGATGAAACCCGAAACCCACCGGGAATCGAACTGTGACCTCCCGGTTCATAGGTGGACGCTCAACCACTGAGCCACGCCGGCCGGGCTGTGACATTTTTTTTCTATCATTCAGCATTTCTCCTGCAGAGCAGGTGGCTGAGATATAGGAAAAGCTGCGAGTGTATGGGGATAGCTCTCCCTACTCCCACCCACCCCTGTTTTTAGGTCTTTTGAGAAATATCACCCAGGAGCCTCCAAGGTTTGAACCGTTTGTCCTCTCTGAGCTACAACAGATTCGGCTTTTCCCAGGCACTCGCCGTTACGGAGCATTTTCTAGAATCTCTTCAGTTTTTATGTCATCCCCACTGAGGGCAGATGTCCTTTCGTGAGGTTTTTCCCCCTTTTTTATTTACTTTGGGGAATACCTAGGTCATACATGTGCCTGTTTGCGGGTGGATATTTGCATGTTTTCGTACAAAACAAGAAAGACTTGTAATTTTCCATTGCAACATCATATGTTGTCCTTTTCTCACTAGTTTGATTTGCTACCTTTTTTTTTCTTTTTCACCTTTTTGACCCCCTTCACTTATTGAGCTCACCACCCACCGCCACCTCTGGCGACCACCAAGCTGTTCTCTGTCTCTCAGCTTGGTGTGTGTGTGTGTGTGTGTGTGTGTGTGTGTGTGTGTGTGTGTGTGTAAATTACACATGTAAGTTAAATCATATGGCATTTGTCTTTCCCTGTCTGACTTCTCTCACTCAGCATAATACTCTCTAGGTCCATCCATATTGTCGCAAAGGGCAAGATTTCACTCTGTTTTATGGTTGAATAATATTCCGTTGTATACATGCCCATCTCCGTGTCTTCATTCATTCATTCACCTGTGGACGCTGGGGTTGTTTCCACATCGTGAGCCCTGTCCATGACACTGCAGGGAACACGGGGTGTGTAAATCATTGTGAGTTAGTGTTTTTGTTTCCTTTGGAGAAATACCCAGACATGAAATTGCTGGATCCTGGCTGCCTCCCTGCCACTCACAGAGACGTTGGGCTTTATGTTAAACCCAAACCTAACGTACTCCGTGAAAACAGAGCTTAAGAAAAACCCGTCAGTCCAGCCCTGTGTGCTGTGCTCTAACACTACACAGCATTAGCCATTTGTCCTGCTTGTGGCGCTTGATCACAAAGGTAGTCATTCACACCCTAGTCTAATTTAGTAGACGTTCATGCCGGACGTTGCTGATGCACATATTTTTTTTAAGTCGGTGTATGTCCTTCTGCCTGTTTCTTATTTCCACCTGGGAGCATGTGTCCTTGGTTTCCTGTGGGGTCCCAGTGACATGATACATTTTCACTCGGCGTGTTGTCACCTGACTGGAGGAAAGCACGGCCCAGCAACGCTTCCAGATTTCAGCAGTTACATCTACTGCCGAGAAACGCAGTGTGTGCTGGCTCAGCGGTGTCCTTCCCCCGAAGACACAGACACAAACCCGAGATGCCTGAGAGGCGTTTTCTCCGTGGAATTCCTTTGGTCGCCGGAGCCACAATTTCTGCTCTTTCTTCTTTCACAGGTGTAACTCCTTCATTGAAAATGCTTCTGCTCTCAAGAAGCCTCAGGCCAAACTGAAGAAGATGCATAACTTAGGGCACAAGAACAGCAGCCCCCCCAAGGAGCCGCAGCCGGCCAGGGTGGAGGAGGTCTACCGGGCCCTGAAAGGCGGACTCGAGTAAGAGCGCCAGCCTCGCCGGGGGCCCACCCTTTCTCGGTCCTAGAGGCTGGGGGGTGGGGGCCAGAGGAAAAACGAGTCTTGCGAGATCATTTTAAAATGTCCGTTTCTGTAGTAAATATCTTATTCTTCTTTTTGAAAAAATACATTTTTACTGATTTCAGAGAGGAAGGGAGAGGGAGAGAGAGATAGAAGCATCAGTGATGAGAGAGAATCATGGATCGGCTGCCTCCTGCACGCCCCACACTGGGGATGGAGCCCGCAACCCAGGCCTGTGCCCTGGCCAGGAATTGAACCCTGACCTCCTGGTTCATAGGTCAATGCTCAACCCCTGAGCCACGCTGGCCGGTGTAGATATTTCATTCTTGCACCGCCATCGAGGAAGCCTTAGGTTAATCCCAAAGGTGGGCCGTTTGTTGGGTTCGAGGTGATGCCCGTGACAGCGAGGAAGGTGAAGTAGCCACGTGTTTAACTGGCCCCGGGGAGTATTGGCTTCCGTGTAGCACTGTGCACAGGAGGCCTGCTTCAGCGCTTGCTGAAGACGGTTCTGGAACCTTCCCGGCTACATTCTCGGCCTCTTTGGCCAGAACACACCTGCCCGCCTGCGTGGGAACGTCGCCCACCCCAGTCAGTGCTGTGGAGCCAGACAGCTCTGCGGCCTCCCCGCCCGCTGGTTTTTCTGTGCCGGCGCGCGGCCTCGTGGGGGTCTCCTCTGACCACCTGGGCGGTCCCGGAGGCAGTGCCAGAGCCTAAGCTGAGCGACTGGGGAGCTGCAGCCCCTCGTCCCCCCGCTGCCTGCAGAGCCAGCTCCGGCCCTGCCCCGCGGAGGGAGGCCAGCAGCCCTGGTCCGTCCGCAGCGGCGGCCGCGAGTTCACAGCGGCGCGTCCTCTTGTGTTCGCAGCGAGTACCTGGAGGTCCACCAGACGGAGCTGGACAAGCTGACGGCGCAGCTGAAGGACATGAGGAGGAACTCCCGCCTGGTAGGTGCCCGCGTCCCCGGGTGCTGACTCGTGGGGGTGATTGTGTGTTTAGGTTTGTTGTTTTTTTGGGGTTGTTTGTTTTTTGTTGTTTTCTGTTTGTTTGTTTGTTTGTTTGTTTTTGGCTAAGTGTCTTCTCCTCCTGGATGGAGGTGGATACAAAGAAGAACCTTCCAGAAAAGCAGACCCACCCTGGCCAGTTTGCTCAATGGTTAGAGTGTCAGCCTGCAGACTGAAGGGTCACGGGTTCGATTCTGGTCAAGGGCCTGAACCTCGGTTGCAGGCTCCGGTCCGGATACGTGCGGGAGGCAGTCAATGGATGTGTCTCTCTCTGTCTCGCCCCCTCCCTTCCTCTCTCTCTAAAAACAATCAATGGAAAAGTATCTTCAGGTGAGGATTAACAAAAACAAAAAGTACTCTTGCTGGGATTTAAAATAACCCAGATTTGTCCTCTTTTAAAGCCAATGTCAGAAAACCCAAAAGAACCTTACGGCTGGTCATTGTCTCCCTGACAATGCAGGCACGCAGACCCATCCCTCTATTAATGTCAGTAGCAGTCTTGCCGAAGATACGTTTTAATTATTTTTATTTTCCATTTCAGGGTGTGCTGTATGACCTGGACAAGGTAAGTGACCGTTCTGCGCTGGGGGGGACATAAGCCCGAGGTCCCCTCTGAGGGACGGCGGGAGCCTAGCGAGCGGCGACTTTTCTAAGCCCGGAAAACCCGTGCCTTAACCTCTGAGTTTGATGAGTAGGTGCTGCGCTCTCCAGACCCAGTGGTACTTTCATGGAAACGCCCCTGCTGTGGGCGTCTCAGTGCTGAGAAGTTTAAGAGGTTCCCAAGCGTTGGGAGGCCCTGCCCCGCCTTCTGTGTAAATACCAGCCACCACCTCTCCCCGAGTCAGAGGGACCTGATCGGAAAGTGCACCGTTACCTTATGCTCCACCAAAGGAACCGCGATCGCAGTGACACGGTTTCCTTTCCCCTGAGAATGGGTGTTCTGCCCCCAGTGACAGGACCCTTCGAAGCCCATTGTCAATGTGGGTCGTTGTAGTCCACGCGCTGCTCTCTCCACGCCTGTGTGCGCGCCCTTCGCGCTGGATCACGGTGGGATCCGCTCGCGGACATCTGAGCAGGTGGTGAGAGGCAGCACGTGCAATAGTATCTGTAACGGACGAGAGGCGGCACGAGACCCGCCGCCACCCTGTCCGACACCCACAGGCGTAGCGATTGGGCGACGCACCTCAAGTTCAGAGACACGGAGTGTGGAGCGAAGGGTGTTCCTCTCCGAGCTGATAAAATGTGCCCGTTGTTGGGGGAACTTGGGTCCGTTCCAAGGTGATGCGTCCCCACAGAAACCCAGTGAGGCCATGACGGCCTCCCAGACGCGAATCACAGAGTCCAGAGGCCGGGCAGCCCATTTCTCAGCGTGTTTGTCCAGGGTAGACGTTTAAATGCCCTTCAGATTCATGCTGGAGACGCTCAGATAGCAGAGACAGGGGAGGAGGACGGAGCGTTGCGCGGGCCTCCCGAGGACGAGAGGGGAGAGGCGGCCGGTCGCAGGCCTGGACCGTCTGCGCTGTGACGACTGTCCTCGCTCACACGTCTCCCTTTCCTTCCAGCAAATTAAAACGATTGAACGGTACATGCGGCGCCTGGAGTTTCACATCAGCAAGGTAACTGCCGCCCGGGCCTTTGCCTGGTTTTCGGTTCCTGGTCAGCCCACCTTTGGCCTGAGCTTGGCCAGTGGTTCAGGGAGGATTTCTTTATTATTGTTGTTATTATTACTGATTTCAGAGAGGAAGGGAGAGGGAGAGAGAGAGACACATCAATGATGAGTGAGAATCATGGATCGGCTGCCTCCCGCGCGCCCCACACTGGGGATGGAGCCCACAACCCGGGCCTGTGCCCTGACTGGGAATCCAACCGTGGCCTCCTGGTTCAGAGGTTGACGCTCAGCCTCTGAGCCCCGCGGCCGGCTGGTCCCCAGCATCCTTTCCTTTCCAGCCCTGTGACGGGCTTACACGGGGCGGCCACCCCTCTGCGGCTCCCACTCATGGCCCCGCGACCGGGGCAGAATGAACCGCGCCCTGTCTGCGAAGCCCGCTCAGCAGGACAGTGACGCCCATGAGGTGCCGGTGGGGCCGGCGAGCTCGGACAGGTTGCTCTGTTTAGTTTGAAGAACAGCAGGAAGGCGGCTCCGGAGGCAGGCGGTGTTCTCCATCTGTCCGTCCCGTGGGTCCCGCGGTCTCGGAGGCCGGGAGTGCTGTCTGCGCAGGTCCCTGCAGGCCGCCAGCAGGCCCGTCTCACGGGGTGAGGCAGCTAATCCGCTCACTTGCTGAGGCACCGCTTGGCTCACAGATGCACGCAAAGCCACCCTTCCTCCTGGAGCGTGACTCCGTCTGGCTCAGAGAGGCTGACACGTAACGAAAACAGAGAACAAACTTCTCTCTAAATCAGCGGTTCTCAACCTTCGGTTCGCGACCCCTTTGGCGGTCGAACGACCCTTTCACAGGGCTCTCCTAAGACCATCCTGCATATCAGATATTTACGTTACAATTCATAACAGTAGCAACATGACAGTTATGAAGGAGCAACGAAAATAATTTTATGGTTGGGTCACAACATGAGGATCTGTATTTAAAGGGCCAGAAGGTTGAGAACCACTGCTCTAAATGCAAAGGAACAGACTGAGCCGCTCAGGCTAACACCGGGCCCGGCGAGCGGGTTACGGTCATAGAGACACCGGTGGGGACGGGTCGAGGGGCGTCTCCGAAGCCCCCAGGGGGATACGCCCAGCTGGCAGCGATGGAGGCGCCGTGCGCGTGTTCCTGCATGTTGATGGCGCACGTCCCGCGTCAGATCGCTCGGGCCAGTCATTTGAAAGTTCGGATTCCCGGCCCAGCCCTGACCCAGTGAACCCACATCTCAGGACCCCCAGGCCCGGGGCCTGGGCTCCCGCATTTACCCCGCTCACCAGGGTGTCTCCGCTTCGCCTTAAAGTGCGGCCACCGCCCCCCATGCCTGTCGCCAGCCCAGAGATGCCGTCAGCAGACAGGCCACCCCTCCAGGCCTTGCCCCCCTCTTTCTTTTTGTTTTAATCCCCACCCGAGGGTGTTTTTCATTGACTCTAAAGAGAAGAGGAGAGAGAGAGAAACATTGATGTGAGAGAGAAACATCGATTGGCTGCCTCCTGTAGGCGCCCCAACTGGGGATTGAACCCACAACCTGGGCATGTGCCCTGACCGGGGATCGAACCCACAAACTTTTGGTGCACAGGACGACGCTCCAACTCACAGAGCCACGCCCCAGGGCCAGGCCCCCCCAGTCACGACCCATCGGCCCCCAGAGTGAGAGACGGTCTGCTCCCCGAGTGGGGCAGCTCCTCTTCGCAGTGGCTGTTGGCCTGAGGGCAGCGTCCCGGTGGTTGTGGAGCCGAGAATTCACAAACACCCTTTGCAGTGAGAAGCCTCGAGTTGCCCTTTAACAATAAGCTCGGCCTGGGCGTGTGACTGTCACCTGTGACGCTCTCTTAACGTAAAATGACGATGGCGCGTACAAGTCTTCACCTTGCCCGGCCGCGGGCCTCAGGGGCTCAGGGGCTGAGCGTCAACCTAAGAACCAGGAGGTCACTGTTCCATTCCCGGCCAGGACACAGGCCCGGGTGCGGGCTCCATCCCCAGTGAGGGGCGTGCAGGAGGCAGCCGGTCCATGATTCTCGCTCATCATTTATGTTTCTCTCTCTCCCTCTCCTTTCTTCTCTGAAATCAATAAAATATATATATACATTTTTTAAAAAAAAACAAAGTCTTCACCTCGGAGGGAAGCTTATAACCACCCCTACTCCTGTGTGCACAGGAGGCGCCGGCATTCATTGCCCCACACCTGTGGCGTGTACAGGGGCCCACACCTGTCGCATGTACAGGTAACCCACACCTGTCCCATGTACAGGTAACCCACACCTGTCCCATGTACAGGTAACCCACACCTGTGGCGTATACAGGGCCCACACCTTCTCCCATGGGCCACCCGCGTGCCATTCCTTTTCACCTTCTGCGCTTGGGAGAGCGGCTCGGAGGACAGTCGGTTTTGACGTGGAAAGGGGCCCTCGTAGCGAAGGCCGCAGTGACGGCCTCCCTCTGAGAGGGTGCCCTTCTCCCGGAGCCCCCGTGAGCTCAGGACCAGCGTGTCCGAACCACGGGCTCAAGCGCCATCGGGACTCAGCGCCCTGGCTTTCCCGCTTGATCCCGGCAGGTGGACGAGCTCTACGAAGCCTACTGCATCCAGAGACGCCTCCAGGACGGCGCCAACAAGATGAAGCAGGCCTTCGCCTCGTCCCCCAACAGCAAGGCCGCCCGGGAGAGCCTGGCCGAGGTGCACCGGAGCCACAAGGAGTACACGGAGGTGGGTGCACCGGCCCGCGGCCACCTGCGGGGACCGCCCAGAGCACGCACGGCGCCCTGCGCCCATCTCACTCTGCTCTTCACACAGGAGTCCTACCCTTTGTCTCTCTTGCTTTTTATTTCTTAATATGTATATTTTTATTGGTTTCAGAGAGGGAAGGAGAGGGAGAGAGAGATAGAAACATCAGTGATGAGAGAGCATCATGGACCGGCTGCCTCCTGCACGCCCCACCCTGGGGATCGAGCCCCCAACCTGGGCATGTGCCCTGATTGGGAATCAATCCATGACCTCCTGGTTTATAGGTCGACACTCAACCACTGAGCCACGCTGGCCGGGCTACATGCCCTGTTTTTTTCCATTTACATGCACCTCCAAAGTCTCCCTGTGCGGTCCCCCCGAGCGTTACCCCGAGAGCTGACAGGCCGTGGTGGGGGTCACCCCACAGTCGGTTGTGGCGAGCCCTCCTGCCTGGCGGCGCTGGCAGTTGGCAATGTCCCTCCTGTCCCTGCAGGAGACAGAGAGGCCGGCTGCCCTGGTTCCTGCCTGTCCCCTGGGCCGAGCACACGATGCAGGGAGGCCTGTGCCCTCGGGGTCACCGGATACCAGTGCGTCCGATGAAATGGCTGAATTATTAAGGCAGCGCTGCTCCCCGTCCCCTGGGGCCTCGTCAGAGGTCAGATTTCCCGGGTGACGTCATCAGCCCGGGAGCGTCTGAGGGACAGTCCCCAGAGGGGCATCTGCCTCAGCCTCGGACGGCGGGACCTCTTGGGTGACACGCAGGGTCACTTTGTGGTTTTGTTTTTGTTTTTGAATATATTTTTATGGATTTCAGAGAGGAAGGGAGAGAGAAAAACATCAGTGATGAGAGAGAAACATGGACCGGCTGCCTCCTGCACGCCCCTCCCTGGGGGTCGAGCCCATGACCCGGGCATGTGCCCTGACCGGGAATCGAACCGTGACCTCCTGGTTCATAGGTCGATGCTCAACCCCTGAGCCACGCCGGTCGGGCTCACACGGATTTCTTAATGGTAACCTCTGTAACACGCGTGTCCCCCGCATAAGCACATGCACACCGTGACCCCAGCTAAGAAAGGTGAGCCATGCTGCAGCATCCCCTCAGACCCCGTGTTTCCACATCCCCCCTATTGGCCCCACAGTGTCTTGTTTTAGTGTCTTTGTCTTTAACGTCAGGATACAACCCAGGTCCATGGAACACCTTCCATCCGGTTGTCTCTTTCGTCTACATCCTATGATATTGCCCTTTTGTGGAATTCAGGCCGGTTCTTATAGGATACCCTGCATTCCAGCCCTGGCCGGTTTGGCTCAGTGGTAGAGCATCAGCCCACGGACTGAAGGGTCCCGGGTTCTGTTCCGGCTTGGTCCCGGCCCTGGCTGGGGCACATGCGGGAGGCAACCCATCGATGTGTCTCCCTCACATCGATGTTTCTCTCTCTGCTCTCTCCCCATCCTTTCCACTCTCTCTAAGAATCAATGGGAAAATAGCCATAAAAATATCTATAAAAATGAAAGAGCATGCCTGCATTTGGGATCGTTGGTTTAGGGTGTAACCTAACTTGTTCTGTGCTCGCAATGTCCCGGACGCGGAGGCTTGCTCCGGCCTGGGTAGAGCTTGCTGTGAGGAACCCTCCGGGCGGCGTGGCTCAGTGGGGACGGGTCGGTGCGCCCTGGGTCCGGCCGTGCGAGCGCCAGGGGCTCTGGGCTGACCGGAAGCTGCCCAGCCCTGACCAGTGCCGTCCCCGCCCCTGTCCCCTCACAGAACATGTGCACCATCGAGGTGGAGCTGGAGAGCCTGCTGGGCGAGTTCTGCATCCGGATGAAAGGTACTCGCGGCCACGCTGTTCCTGTATCCCTGCTCAGCCCTCCCCACCTGTTCATTGAAACCGAATCCTAGCCCTGGCCAGTGTGGCTCAGTGGACAGAGCGTCTGCCTGTGGACTGAAGGGTCCCGGGTTCAATTCTGGTCAAGGGCACGTACCTGGGTTGCAGGCTCCTCCCCGGCCCCGGCCCCGGCCCTGGTCGGGGTGCGTGCAGGAGGCAACCAATCCATGTGTTTCTCTCACATGGATGTTTCTCTCTGTCTCTCCCTCTCCCTCCCACTCTCCCTAGAAATCAATGGGAAAATATCCCCGGGTGAGGATTAATAACAACAAAGAAACTGAGTCCCAGGGCCCTTGGTTCCCAGGACGTCCGGCCACAGTCTGTGGGATCAGGGACGTCCTGAGGCAGCTGAGTGGGCACGACACTGGGTTGCTCCCAGGAGGGGACCTGGGAGCGGGTGGCAGCCAAGGGGCCCGCCCACCCGATCTGCAGCTGCAGGGCTGCTGGGCCGGGGGTGCTGGGCCAGACCTCCCTCCCCTGGGGACCTGGCCACCCTGTCAGCAGCGTCCCGGCCGCCGTGGGCTGCCTGTCAGGGACGGAGACCCCTCTGTGGCCCCCACACCTGCACCCTGTCCCTGCCCCCCTGTCCTCTCTCCTTAGCTTCTCTCGGGGTCTCTCAGGCCTGGGGCCGCTCCCCCTTTTTCTTGTAGATTCATCGAGGTTCTCTTCCCTCATCTCACACAAAACCCCAACGCGCAGCTGGGCAGGCTTCCTGGGGACGCCCCACGGAAATGGCCCCCCTCGATAAGGGAGCCCTCCCGCTGCCAGGAAACCCCCAGCGTTGCCATGAGCGACCTGCTTATCTGTTGTTCATTCTGGGAAAAAGAGCCGCCCAACACACCCATCAACGCGAACTGGGGCTATTTCACAACACGCAGACCCGGCCGCCACTTCCGCCGCCACACCCAGCACACTTTCCCTTCCCCCCAACACAGATGGCTGTGGAGGGGGGAAGAGGGGACAGCAGATGAGACGATGGGCGAAGAACCAGTTTGGCTCAGTGCATAGAGCATTGGCCTGCGGACTGCAGGGTCCCGGGTTCGATTCTGGTCAGGGGCATGGACCTCAGTTGCAGGTCCCCAGCCCTGGTCGGGGTTCATGCAGGAGGCAGCCAGTCGATGTGTTTCTCTCACATCGATATTTCTCTCTGTCTCTCCCTCTCTCCCTTCCACTCTCTCTAAAAATCTATGGAAAAATAACCCAAAAAAACCCAACTTACTGCTGTTGGCCACGCGCGAGGCTGTGTGCATCTGGGCGGCGGGCCCTTGGCCTTGAGTCCCCACAACCTCCTGGAGGAGACGGTGGCTGAGCCAGTGCCGTCTACTTGGTGCAATAGCGACCGCTGGCCCAGCCGCCTGGGGTCAGACCGCCGGAGGCCTGGGGGTGGGAAGGGTGCCCTCACGGCCTGGGAGGAGGCAGGCTCCCCAGTGTCACCTCTGAGTGAGATCGGGAGGCCCGTCTGGCAGGTGAGCAGCCCAGGACAGCGCCCACCCCACAGGGCGGGGCTCAGAAAGGACCTTGAGTGGGTTCTTGACGCCTGGTTCTCCCTGGACGTCAGGGTGGCAGCCCTAGCACGCTGGCGGCTGCTGCCACCTATTGGCCGGTCGTGGCCACGGCGGGTGCTTTGTTAGGCCTCCCTTAACCTTGGGGATGCCTGTTGGTGTACCCAGTCTCATGATTTTTTATTTTTTATTTATTTATTTATCTTTATTTTAGAGAGGAAGGGAGAGGGAGAGATAGAAACATCAATGATGAGCCCTGGCTGGTTTGACTCAGCGGATAGAGCGTTGGCCTGCGGACTGAAGGGTCCCAGGTTCGATCCCGGTCAAGGACACATGCCCGGGTTGCAGGCTCAATCTCCCAGTAGGGGGTGTGCAGGAAGCAGCCAATCAATGATTCTCACCATTGATGTTTCTATCTCTCTCTCTCCCTCTCTGAAATCAATAAAAATACATTCTTTAAATAAAAAATCAATGATGAGAGAGAACCATGGCTCGGCTGCTCTCCTGCACGCCCCCCCACTGGGGATTGAGCCTGCAACCCCAGGAAC